GTGCAGCCGCGCGCTGCCGCATTTTTTCGCGTAATTCTGTAACATTTGCATAATTTTGGATTCCCCGCGTTTTTTCAAGTTTTTTTCCCTTTTTTTTCACAAAACAATTAATTAACACCTCGCCATATGACTAAAGGGAAGCAATCACCGTAATAAGTCTCATTTTGATAAGTTGGTTATTTCCATAGTTAGAAGATCTTGGTTATAGGTTGGGATTTTGTTCCTTGAGCATGTTCAATTTTTCAATCAATCAAAAGTTGTTGTTCTCATGTCTGCAGATGTTTCATGTTTGACAGGTGACCCTGGTTTTAGTAATGTGCCAGCATGAGAGATCCACATGTCATTTTAAAAAAAAAAAACAAACATTTTTCTCTCCTCTATAGATGTGTGAGGCAGCGTGGTGGAATCAGGCTCTCGTCAAAATGATCAAAGTGAAGAAACTTGCATTTTTCCACAGGTTTGTGAGTTTTCATCAAATTTTTGTTTTTTGGTTCAACACCTTTCATGCCCATTAAAGAACTCATTTCTGTGTGGATTTTTCTGAAAAACGTTGATTAAAGGCACAAAAAATGTACATTTTCAGTGACCACAGACTCTAAAGCTAAGGAAATAACTAGTCTTTGGAAGCCATTTTCTCACTAATTTTACCTCTGAAAACAGGTGACCCCACCTCCTTCATTGACAAATATCTCGACTTGTACTCAAGATAAATGAATATTTTTTTCCATCCAAATAAAGACAACTGAACAAGCTTCAAAGATGATACCAATAACTCTATATGCCCAAAAAATTGACGAGAGCCTGATTCCACCACGACCAGCCAAGCAGAGATAATGGTTTTTGCTTGTATGTGTTTCTGTAACAAGTTCTTTTTACGAGAAAGGTAGTTAGCCTTGAGACTCAACCCCGGACCTGGAGAGAGGATGACTCTGTTTCGGGAGTCACTACCATATTTAATGATATTTCGGTAGCTATCACCACGTCAGTCCTATTCTTTTCAATGCCCGGACTGCACGGCTTGGAAAGGACAGGACAAAAGGATATAGAAGTAGAAATAAGACTAAGAAAGTGGCATTGGATGGGACACACCTTCAGAAAGCCCACCGGAAACATCACAAGACAGTCACTGCGATGGAACCCACAGGGAGCACGAGGCAGGGGTAGGCCACGAGAAACATGGAGGAGATGTGAGGAAAGGGACATGAGAGAGATGAAGCTCACTCGGAACGAGCTAAGAAGGACGGCCCGGGATAGAGATAAATGGAAGGAGTTTGTAAGCGGCCTCTATACCCTGCCAGGGGTGAAAGGCACTGATGATGATGATGATTCCACTAAGCTGCCTCACATTAAATAGATCTACAGTTGAAAGTTACAGAGATTATGCTTTGGTTGTTTTTTTCCGGACTGATGCGTTGTTTTCTTTCCAAATACATAACAAATTACTGAGTGATACTGATATGTTCTGTTTTCAATTTTTCTGCACATAAAACAAGAAAATCATGAAAATTCATGATATCATAGGCCTACCAAAGATTGTTCGTATACAATATGGTTCAATCGGTCCAAAAAATGTCCGCAGTAAATATTTATAAGAAATGCTACAGTTCCAAACAGTTTTTCGCTACAGATATGACGTGTTGCCTATGAAGGGTGCTGTCTAGATCTAGATCTATGGAGGGTTACTGATAACGACACACATAGAACTAGCATGCGTTTGTCGTGGCCGTGACCAATCAATCGTGGCTCGAATTTCGGGCATGTTTTGGTTCCCCATTCGGGGAATATAAAGAAAGTCAAATAAAAAAAAGAAACTGAACCTCTTTACTTTTGAAAGAAAGTTCACTTAGCTTCACTTCGTCTCTTTCTCACTTGTTGTCAGCACGTTGATTTGTTCAATACGTTACAGTATTTTATACGATTTGTATTGAGCTGTTCCTCTTTTATTTTCCCCTCTTTGTGGTGTTTTATTTTGTTGGTGTGTATTTTTTTTTCTTGTTATTGTTCATTGTTCTGATGTGTTGTTTTTCTATTAATTTTTGTTGTTGTTGGGGAAAAAGGGGGGGGGGATGTTGTATACACGGTAACGTCATTTAATTTGATGTTCCTACCTTCAACAGATTCTAAATATATATCAGGTATAGATTTAAATGTGTTATGTTAGAGCGTTCCACCAAAACTGATAACGTACTGACACTGGCAGTCCCTTGGCGTGTGATTCCATAATTTACATGTGTAATATCCAGTACTTTTTTTTAAAATTACGCACATTTAGGGTTAAAACTGCCAAATCTTCTTCAGAGAGGTGGACACACGCCCTTATCTGTTAATTTTTGTGGTTGTTTATGGGCTGTTCTAATTTTGATTTCATTCAGTTGTGAAACCTTTCTTTTTTACGTTTTTACGCACATCTAAAAACCTCTAGACTAGCTCTTGAAAATTGAAATAGATCCAGACGCAAAAAATTTGCTTACTTCCCACACCTCGCAGAATGGCAGAATGAAAGTGAAAGTTGGCGCCAAACTCTCGGAAATAGGCAAAAAATCACGAGGCCGGAAGCCGGAAACCGTTCGAAGAAATAAAGATCGGCACTATTTCTCCGAACATTCAGAGAAATAGACACTTTGTCTCTATATATGTCTAGTCTAGATCTAGCTCTAGCAGCTCAATTGAATTCGATGCAAAAAAAGCAGCGATGTTTTGCAGTTAGGTTGCATCCCTGCTCTTTGAGTAGCCTATTTCAAATAGTATTTGGTCAACAAGACTTTTCTGGATTTCTTCTCTGAGTCTGGATGTAAACAAATCCTATCGCGGACTTTAACGAACGGAACTACAAGACCACCAATGCTTCTTCCCCGTCCTTGCAGAAAGGAAGAATGATAGATGATGCCTAGATCTTTAAATTTCGCAAATAATTATACGAAGTGATTATTCGGACTCGAGTCCGAATATGAAAAAATGTTATTCGGACTCTGATTCTTGTCCAGCATGACATCACTTCCGACTTCCTGTGACTCATGAATCCGGCTTCCTGTCCTGCCTCACTCGTGACTCGCCTCAGGCTGGGTAGAGACCGGGATCACTTCGGGCAAAAAGGCGTTTTGTGCAGGAGCCGAGTATTAATCTTATAATGATGAATTTGAGGCCGGCCTGAAAAGTTATAGCGCTTCTAATAAATGTTTATTTATCAAGAGGTCATCAGAAGCAATTAAAGATGGCTCGTTAGCATGTGTCGGGGTCGATTGGGCGGCCTGCACACGTGTGGCTGTGTGCGTGTCGGGGAGGGTGGTGGGGGGCACTATCGGTCCGGGCTTTGAACGTCGCATAAGCGTCGGTCTTTTTCCCCGCGGCAACTGATCATTATTACAATATAATAAGCTAGTCTTGACGTAGATATAATACGTAATGAATTGTGCGCTAGTCTATGGAATCAAAAGTTGCCGTATGCTCAGCTCTACACAGCAACACAACTTTTTCTTGGTAAACAATCGATATGACACAGGCTTGTATATATTAATATATTTGAACGAATCGGTCTTTTTTTTTTTTTTACACAGCTCATAATATGCCAGGTGGTCTGCTAATCTTCAAGTTTACCTTTTTCTACAACAAAGAAAGTGGGAAACGTGTGTGGGGGGGGGGGGGGGGGGGGGGCGTATCAATGAGGCGGCGGGCATTAGATCGGCAGATAAGGTGTGGGGGAAACTAAAAAATGGCGGAAAATTGGAAGCACTGAACGTTAGATCTATAGAACGAAGACACTTCCTTTTCTCCGGACCCGAGTCCGAATAACATTTTTTCATATTCGGAATATAACGACGGCCGCTAAACCAATCTTGAGAAAGGAAACTGTTTTGGAGAAATAGATCTATATAGAGATCATCAAGAAGTTTATTTTCCCGAGCGTTCGGAGATCTCTAGAATCTAGATATTAGATCTAATCTAGATCTAAACTAGATTATCTAGATCTAGATCTAGATCTCTAGATCTAGATCTAGATCTAGATTCTAGATCTAGATCTAGACTAGATCTAGATATCTAGATCTAGATCTAGATCTAGTCACTTCGTAAAATATTTTCGAGCCAAAACGAAAAAAAGACCTGTTGCCAGCTTACATCAGTGCTGTACGTAGAACACCTGATTTTGGGGGGGGGTGAGAATAGCGAAATGGAAGTGGCTATTCTCATCCGGGGTGAGAATAGAAAAACGATCTACCTCTCACCCCGGGTGAGAATTGCCAGCGTAGGCTATTCTCACCCGGTGCGAAACAAGACCTGCTTTTCCTCATTTTGGAATACTGTCTATCGGTGTGGATGATCCAATTGATAAAAGCCAAGAAAAAATTACGTTATAGCACAAAAGTAAGCTAATTTGATCGTCTTCAAAGATGCTATGGCTATTTCACTGTTCGAATCGAGCCGAACTACGCGGGTCGCCATTTTGTTTTGCCCGGAAGTTCTCGCAAGATCTACTCCTCCCCTATCTCTCTCTCTCTGTCTCTTTCTGAATACTGTCTATCGGTGTGGACGATCAAATTGACCAAAACAAAGTTAAAAAATGATGTTAAAACACAAAAGTAAATTAATTTGGTTGTCTACAAAGATGCTACAGCTATTTAACTTTTCGAATCGAGCCGAACTACGCGGGTCGCCATTTTGTTTTGACCGGAAGTTCTCGCGCTACTTCTCTCTCTCTGTCTTTCTCTCTCTCCACTGCCCACAGACAAAATTGTACGCTTTTAGTAGGCTAGGCTACAGTTGTAATGGAACGTTTGTTCACGGCACAGAATTCTACAATGTTTCTGTTATCGCAGTGTAGAATTCTGTGGTTTAGGGTGAACGCAAAATTTGTTGGCCTAGATCTAGGCTATAACGGTGAACGCGCACCGGGTGAGAATAGCCAAAAGACTCGCCTGCATTATTCTCATCCCGGGTGAGAATAGAGGTGGCCTAGCGAAATGCAGGCTAGAGAAGCCACTTCCCTTGCCAATCATTCAACTCACCGGGATCCCAGTAGCTCAACGATTGCTTCGATACAAATACTTGGAAGTTGCCCACAGCTGTAAGTGTCGCAATAAATACCAAAAGGCATAACAGAAGGTGTGTATGCTTGTGTATAAATTCCAAAACTCCCCACATGATGAAGACCTCTTGCTCTACACCTGTGAGCGTAAGATTAGAAGGGTTTTAAGGGGTTTTATATCGTTTGTTTGGTTGCGTTTATTGTTTACTTCGCAGACCTTTTTTCCGGTGTCAGGTAATACGCTCATCTTTCAGTCTTGAAAAAACACACAAGAGATGCCTTCCGATTTCATACGGCTGGCGTACTCGTAAAATTTAAAAGACAATAAGATATCTATCTGCTTGTTTTTTAACTGAAGTGTTAATGTATATATTACATTTTACTAAGCTAATCAAGATAATTTTGAAAAATAAAGATGTTTTGACCTGAAATTTCATTTGTTAATAATTTTGTCTTATTTGGCATACCGGATTTCACATTTCGAACCAGGAGAGTGACGTCCCTTCCATAGCTAACATCGTCATCGACTCGTACTCGTAGACAGTAGACAGATTAGAAAGGCACAGAACAAGGCTAGTCAGAAAGAGGAACTATACTACAAGAAAAAATAAAGAGTTCGGTCTTCTTGGACGTTTTCTTCCTTCTGCAATTCTACCAATATTTCTCTTGAAGAGGCAGGAGGCGTTCACCCTTACACAAGCTAGATCTAGATCTAGGCTAGGTAATGTAGCCAAAGGCAAGGGTCTAGATCTAGAACTCTAGACTATCAAGACCAAGAGGCCAAGACAGAACTTTTGTTTAGCCAGTTTAGCCCTCTAGAACACGTCTAGAATCTAGCTAGCTAGAATCTAGGCCTTTGACTTTGTTTAGACTTATATTTAGATTAGAGAGATGGAGATCTTGCTGTAATGCCAATGCTAAGAAGATCTAGAGTACATCCTGTGGTGCGATATACAGTAAGCAATCTTTTGTGGATATCTCTGGAAGTTACAGGTCGATCTTCATGATTTTTTCACCAGAAGTTAGAAAAACTTCCTCTCTATACGGTGTAGCGCATTACTGTAACAGCAGTTTAAAATTTCTATATGTTGTGGTGGTGTTTGTTTGGTAACGTGTGTCTGGTTTGGTGCGCAAGGTTTCTGGTTTGGTGCAACATATCGTCTTGTTTGGTGCGTAATAGTACCATGTTTACAGCTCTAGATCTAGATCTAGCTCTTTTCTGACACTTTTCATCTTTCTCTATCCTTGCTTTGTCTTCTTTTCCTTGCAAGAAGTTCCTGTACTGACCATAATGGAAGGCCAAGGTCAATTAGGCGTGTTCTTTTTGGGAGCTGTGCGCCCCCTGACAGGAGATTTCCTTACACCTTGTGTATGTGTTTTGATAATGGATAAAAAGAAAGGTGCTGTGGACACAAGAAGGGGAAAGAAGAAAACAAGAATAAGACTATACCTAGACTAGTATTTTAGAAGGAAAAGGACAAAAAAGAAGAAGAAAAAGACGTGAAAAGAAGAAATTGAAAAAGAAAGGTGCTGTGGACACAAGGAAGTGAAAGAAGAAAACAAGAATTAGACTATACCTAGACTAGTATTCTTTAAGGAAAATGGCAAAAAAGAAGAAGAAAAAGACATGAAAAGAAGAAATTGAACATTTTGGAGATTATATTTCCATATTAATTAATTTTGACATGAATACATTAACTTATCATCTTCCAATGGCAATATAATGCATCCAAATGGAAGGAAAACAGTCTGTTTCAGTGCACAATGCAGGTCATAGAGAAATAACTTAATAAGTAAAACAAACAAAGGGCCTAGAAGCCACACTATCAATGCCAAATAGCAAAAAAGCCGATATTGCGCACGAAACGGACTGCCCAAATTTGGTCCTCTTCAGTGCGCAACCCTATCTAACACGTTCCTGGGCATTAAGAAGCAGCCTGCGATAGTATTTATCGATTCTAGTATACATTCTACGATACATTAGAGCTAGATTAGCTAGATGTGCTAAATAATCGACTACTCAAGCGCTTAGTAAATTGATCGATACCGGTTACGAAAACCATTAATATGAAGGGGCAAAACTTTCCGACACCGTAGAATCACGTGTGTTGACAGGAACCTCCAAAACGAAAGTGAAATAAGCTGCATTCTGCGCATGCTCAAAGAAAATGACCTCGTTTTCGCTGTTCTTATCCAAAACAAAGCAGGAGACCGGGGGTTGCGCACCAAAACAGTAGCGCGGTGATGCGGGCCTACTCTAGATTAGACTTAAGATTCTAGGAGATTGTTAAGATTCCCGCATTTAATTCCGATGTGCGTTTTTCATACCTTCAGGCATATTTCGCTTTGGTCCCTAACCTTAACCCTAACCCTAACCCTAACCCTAACCCTAACCCTGGCCCTAACCCTAACCCTAACCCTGGCCTAACCCTAACCCTCTAGCCCTAACCCTAACCCTCTAGCCCTAACCCTAACCCTCTAGCCCTAACCCTAACCCTAACCTAGGGTTAGGGACCAAAGCGAAATATGCCTGAGCCTGAGGGTATGAAAAACGCACATATCGGAATTAAACGCGGGAATCTTAACAATCGCCAGATTCTAGATCTAGATTTTTTCTAGATCTACATCTAGATCTAGACTCTCTAGATCTACTAGACTAGACTAGATCTAATAATCTAGATCTAGATTTAGATCTAGAGACCCCTCTGGGCTTACTGGCACCTTGGCCTTAGTAGTTAGTGTTACGGGATTACTATTTCTGGAAGTGAACTTTTGTATTACCATAACTTCAGCTCTTTCCAAAAACATCGACCCAAAGTTTCGGGAAGGACTTCCCTAACAAGTGACCTCCCCATCAATCAAACACAAAGAAGAGGCCTCTAACCCTAGAATCTTGAACTCTACCACTACCCCTACCCCTAGATCTACTCCTACCCCTAGCCCTCAATTCTGCTCTGTCTCATAGTGGTCGCTCGTTCCAGTAGTCCTCCCAAGTTTCGTTTCGTTGAGAGGTCAGCCTATCCTGCTGGTGTGGGCACACTCACATACATACTTGACATACACACACACAGGCCACTCCATTCGCTTCAACAAATCTCGAGAACGGAAACGGTAAATAAAGTTCAAGTTTATTTTCCCGAGCGTTCGGAGAAATAGAGCCGGCAGTTTTTTTAACGGAATGTCTACGTACACGGTAACCAGGCACCTAGTCTCACCTATTCTCAGCTACGTACACAGTAACTGGGCACCTAGTCTCAGTGTATCTACGTACATGGTAATCGGGCACCTAGTCTCAGTATAGATCTACATACACGGTAACCGGGCACCTTGTCTCAGTATCTACATACACGGTAACCGGAATGAAAATAAATCAGTATTTGTTCTGTACTGTCTCTAGCTAAAAAAAAAAGAAAGTCATTTATAAGCGTCTTGTCTGGCACGCCATCGTGGCCGGTCTGTGAACCTGTGCGGACGCATCACATTGTGAGTACCGGTTGGGGTCACCAAAGTTCATTCAAAGTCTGTGCGCTGCGAAGTATAGGGCTCCGGAATGGGGGGATTTTATTGGTTTTTTAAAAAGTATAGCCGGGAAAGGAGTGGGTGTGAAGGCAACACTGGATGACAAAAACTGAACTTGGAGTTCTGGACTGCCCGGTTACCGTGTACGTGATAGAGACTACGTGCCCGGTTACTTTTGTACGTGACACTGAGACTACGTGCCCGGTTGCCGGTTACTGTGTACGTAGACACTGAGGCTAGGTGCCCGGTTACCGTGTACGTAGACACTCCGTTTTTTTTAAGGCAACTACCAGTTTTGTTTCCGATTGTGTAGGCCTACATGATGCATAATTATAAATATCTCTGGAGTTCGGCTCAGACCACTTCCCCCGAAGAGTCCCAAAGCAACCTCAGCCTAACAACTAATGGATGTAGCAACCTTAGCTTGCATTGTAACATAATTTTTCATTTTACAATTATTCTGCGGACACCCAGGGTGGCAAAATCTGGACATGAAGCTACAGTGAGCACCTAGCACACCTCTGTGATTGGCCCTAATAGAGATGACGCATTTCCGCCATCTATTTTTGTCATCGTCTAGGGCTTCCCTCGCCAGGTTAACAAGATCTCACCATGGCGGGCCCGCTGTGGTGGGCTATGTCACTAGGTTTCATCGCCAACTGATTTGGCTGTGTGTGTGTGTGTGTGTGTGTGTGTGCGTGCGCACGCGCTTTGAACAGTGTGTGAGTGTGTTCTATTTAGAGGAGAAGGTAAATTTATGGAACGAGTATTGCTGAGATTGTTATAAAAGATTAAGCTAGATCTATCATAAATTAATACAACAAAAAACCCCAAGCAGACGGCGAGATCTAGTTAACATGCCCCCCAGGAACCCCACATGTTGTTATAAACAAGTCAAATATTACTACGCCATTATTCCTACTGTAATTATTATATGATGTCGTTCTTTTTTTCAAACATCAATAACTCAATAACTATTGATTTGCGGCAAAAATGGAGGCCATTTTTTTGTTCAGCATGCAAAATACTACAAGCAAAAAATTATATAAAACTACTTACATGAGACGGGTGCTTGAGTAAAAAAAAAAAAAAAGTACACACACAGAACCTGGGCTTAACTCCTGTTCTGCGTCTGTGCTGAGATGCGAATCTTATCACTGAGTTCCTCATGTCTAAGTGGGTGTATTTGTTATAATTTCATCTAGAGCTAGTAACTTGGCTTGTTTTGAATGGACATACGCCTCTGTTGAACCAATGCAGGTGGTTCTACAAGCAGGCCACAAACTCAAACAGACTGACGCATACTCTCACCTGGTCATCACACGGATGATGCTCGGTGCACATGGGCTTAGCTAGGAGAACCGGAGTGATACGGGTTTTAACCGGATCCCGGAAAGCGGGAAAAAAAGGGGGGTCCTAATAATAATCTAGGTAGGCTAACCACTAAAGTCCTTGGAAACTGAAAATTCACCTTTAACCATTTTTCAGTAAAATTACACAAAAATATGTTTTTGAATGGGCATAATAAAGGTGTTGAGGCAATGAAACAATTTTTTAAAAATCTGTCAAACTGACGGAAAAATGCGGAGATATAATATCTTTGATTTCATTATTTTGACTTGCACCTGTTTCACCTCGATACCTGACATCTTTTAAGTGTACTCGAGCTTGATTCACACCCTCTCACCAAGAGCCACTTTCCTTCCAGAGAATGCATCACAATACTGCCATGCTTGGAGCATCAGCTCACTTAAAAAGAGAAACTCTGGTCAACTTAGGCACTGACGCTGCTGATGTTCTTCCTCTCTGAAGTAACAGCATCACTACACCCTGTGAATATGACTCGTGTGTGTGTGTGAGAGAGAGAAAGAGGAGGGCAACATTCCTTTCAAGCAGTTCCTCAATCTCCCCCCCCCCTCCCCCCATTTTGAAAATTCAGATTTAGCAGCAAATTGTTGTCAGGTGGACACCACTGTAGACAATTTAGTTACATGATTAATTTAATTGAGGGTTAATCACTGATAAACCCATGGTTGATGAGTTGTGAGGTCTTTTAAATTCAAGCTCTAACTCAGATGTAAATTTAGCCTTTACTGTTAGTCTTTCACAATGGCATATCTTGGTGAAGAATCAGTGCAATGTAGATGTAGTAATGATTATCATATGACATGTTTGCTTTTAAAAAAATCCAGTTCAGTTTCAGCATAGTTTCCACCGGGACGTCTTGGGGAAAACTTTTAAAGAACCGACTGTTGTATAGGTAAATTTTGCATGATCAGCAGACAAAAATGATAAGATTTAAAATAATAAATTTAATAAACATCACTTTTTTGGCGTCCACCCCCTGGTCACAATAAAATGAGATTTAAATCTTTGCGTGCTTACTGGCCCGTTCTATGTGTACACTAATTCTTTCAAATATAATACATGCTTATAATCTGACAAAGAGTGTAAAAAAATGTCTGTGGCAACTTATACCACACTTGCTGAACTGTTGTAAGAAAAATGAAACTAATCAGTAAATTGGGATTTAAATGAATGTGTTTTTAGACCAGATGTAGTTAAGTTGGTGCCTCTCTCAGATACAGTGGGAGGGAATTCGACTTTGTGGGAGCAGTTGCCAAAAAAGCCCTTCCTCTTATTTTTTAGTTTTTCGAGCCAGTCTCTTCAATTGTTGTTTTTTTAATTGATGAATCATAAATTTGGACAATTAAAGATGATGTGGTACCAGATATTTTAAACCCTTATTGTACATTACTGCAACTTTGAAATAAATACAGACTTTACCTAGCCAATGTAGCTGTGAAAGCAATGGTGCTGTGTGTTCTCTATAGAGGCTTTGCAGTTTGGTTCTGGGGTATTTTTTGCTGTTTAATCTTTAGTTCTGAGACTGAGCTATGTTTAATCAAGATCAATCACTTTGGAACAGTCATTATTTGATAGTAGAAAGCTCACTTACACATTAATGAGAATCTGAATTTGCAGAAAACTTTATGGAGCACACGGCGCACCGGCAGTGGAATTTTAGTTGCCGCGGGGGGGTTCCCCGCCGGGCGCCTTATCACGTCGGGGTCACGGGGGTCAGCTTCCTGTGGCCGCTCTGTCTGGGCCGATTTAATTTTTTGGTACTTTTCAACGTACAATTTAAGGTGTATCCTTGTATTTATGGCATTCTCATTTAGTGCACCCAAAGCATGCATTTCTGCTCTTGAGACTCAAAAAAGAACAGACGTTATAACTTGTCTGGTTATTTCGTTAGACGCGCTGGAGTCTGCAATGCTAAATTGTAATTTGTTTTGGACTAGCGTGAATGAAAAATCAATATTAAAAAAAGGCCTCTTCAAAATCTGTCGAACTTTTCGAACATGAACTACATAACATTGGTTCAGATACTCAAAAAAGATGGTATCTGCGCATATTATAATAGAAGGCTGTAATTTTGAAATTTTATCCATCGGGCACACAATTCGCTATGAAGTATTCCTCCAAATACAACTTTATGTGTCTA